GGCCCACAGGCTTGGGGGTTGAGCACCCATGCATTTGTGCAGTCAGTTTTGAAACCAATCTGGTTGGATCATTGTGCAAGGTGAGGAAGGACAAACCTTTTCCTCCTTTACACCAGCCCCAGCAAGCTCAGAACCAGTGGCCCAGGAGACTCCTGTTTCTCCACCAGCTGCACAGGCAGATCTATGGACTTCAGGAGGAGTTTGAAGTGCAGGTTTGTTGCCTGACTGGGACCTGAGCTGCTCAGAATAGAGAGCATGTTGTTTCTTGGGAGTGTCCTAAAAATTAATTCATTTAAATCAACATCCTTTTTTTTAAAAAAGCAGAGGAGAAATGTTAGAGGCAGCCTCAGGATGGACACATCACTCCACACACTGCAGCCTGCTACAGAAAGGATTTGTTGGGCACAGCTCTAGACTCATCAAGAAGTTCAATCAGGCTTCACTCTTGCACAGAAATCCTGATGGGAATCGGCTAACACAATGGCATTTATAATTTAGCACAGAGAACCATTCCTACCAGTGGGGAAGTATCTGTATACAACCCACGACTGGTGGTTTTGTGTGTTGAAACCTCTCATTCCAGTAGATCTTTCTCTTCACTAAATTCTAATCATGTGTTTTCAGATGATGTGTCCTTTGGACTTTTTCTTCCTTTCTGTTTTAACATTTCCAAGATGATCAAACAGCATTTTTTCCAGCTGTCTTTCATGCATAATAATGTCCCCTTTCTTTGCAATCTTCCTTCCTGTAAATGTACCCTCTGGACCAAGTTGCCACTATATCACACTAAGGCAGCTTTATTCATCTCAATGGAAAGGTATACTTGAAAGCAGAATCTGGTCCGTGGAGAGGACAATAGTACATGAATCACCTCCCTGCTGAGAAGCACAGAGTATTTTATGCAAATTACTGAGTTATTCCACACAAAATATTCCTGTCAGGTAAATATTTCTGTTCAGCAGGTGAATGCAGAGCTATAACTTGCTTAGCGCCACAAGGAAAATATCAAGATAGGATTGGAGATAACTCTCCTGACTCCTAAGTTTGGGCTTCAGGCACAAGACTTTCTTTTCTCCTATTATTGAACAAACCTACAGAAAGCAAGATCCGGTGACCTAATCCTACTGAGTTATACTCTGGCAACATTTCAGCTAATGGCAGAAGTTGTGTTTCCAAAGCACCTAAGTGACTTAAACATCTAAGTCTCACAGATGGGTGATGGAGCTTAGATGCTTTTGAAAGTGTCACCCTCCGGAGTTCGTAAGTGTATTCAGTTCCAGCTTATCTTGCACCGGTCTTTGCAGGCAAACTGTGTGCGTTTGTACTACCCACTACTGGGTACTACTTTATAGGATGCAAGAGGAAGCAGACTAGGTAACAGCAACATGCAAAATGCTGAAGGTGCATTTACCCAAATATAAAGCATAACTGTTTATGCTCAGTTAGGCCTGGTCCCGAGCTGTGCCGTGTTTGGGTAACTGTTTAGATGCCTTAGGGTTAGACGGCTCTGTCCTTAGGAGTCTGCATATAGGAGTTAGGCTGGCAGGCCTCAACTCTGCACAGCCCCACAGGGTTTACTTGGATCTGTGGGCATGGGACGAGGCAGGACCTCAGCTGAACATCTAGTATGCTCCTCCCCAGAACAAGTGGGTACGGAGCAGTAGGGCCCTGGCTCTACTCTACTGCCTACATGCCATGCAGTAAAGCAGTAGGAAGAGAAGGCTCCCTCTTGCCAAGGAGACGTGAAGAGGAATCCTACCTTTCTGAAGCACCATCGTCAGGGATCTCCACGGGGTGGAGAAGGACCCTGCACACCGCTCCGTGCTCAGGGCTGCTTCAAATGAATATTCCAAGGTGGAAATTTTCAAGTAAATTGAAGCACTGTACAGTAACATCTCCCAATAACACATTCCTATAATACCCAGTGCTGTGATACAGAAGAAGCAGACTCACGCCCATGCTTTTCTTTTGTCTTTATTTTTGTCATGTTTCCAAACGTAGCAAAAAAAATTTTTTTTAAAAAGGTGACAATTCCTACAATGGCTTGAAAACATGTCCCTCCCTCAAAAGGACTGACCTCAGAATGGATAGAAAATAATGCAAATATACAAACTAGTGCATGGCTATTAACAGGCATAACCATGATATTTTCATATGAAAATGCAGAAAAGAACAAGGTGCAACTCACACAATTTATTGGTATTTTTTTAAATATAAATCCAGGATTCAAATCTCCTTCTGGATAGAAAGAGGGGAGAAGAGACACCCGCACCATTGCAGGTGAACTGCATTTAGAATAAATATGGCTATATGGCTTCTGTCAATACCACACATGCAAAAAAATTATGACAAAACAAGTCTGAGAATTTCACAAGTGCATAAGATCGGGAGGTTACTTTAGTGCGCAGTGTGTAACAAAAGAAAGCTGTATGCAGGCACTTCTATACATATCCGGATTTTCTATTTCTGTATTATTATTTCTCCATTTACAAATATGTTGGCCCACTAATGAATTTTTGGTCTGATTTTAATAGCTGATGTGTATGTTAGCAATACCCATTCATAAGCAATACTGTGTACTTAAAATCACAGCAGCTTTCTTCGGAGATGGAAAGGTGGAGAAAGCAAGGCACAGAGATATTAGGTGACAACATGGGCTTGCTTCAGCCCATGAAGTTCTGCCCAGTAGTTCTGAATACTGAGTTTGTCTGGATGAGCGCAAAATTAAGATGCTGCTCTTTCTTTCCTCCATGAAGCAACAGCCTGCAGCACCCCTGCCTTTTTAAGCAGTGAATATTTAAACTACTACGAAGAAACCCCAAGGCAAGCAGCCACGTGGCATTTCTGCCAGAGAGGCCCCAGGGAAAGGGGATCTGGAGATAAACCAACTTTGACACAAAGGAGTCCATTAAGCTTGGCCTGCCCTGAGGAGTTCTCCCCGATTCCCACATATCCTCATGGCCCAAAACACTGATCATGGAGTATGCTGTTTGTAGGAAGCACAGCAAACGTATCTGTTTTACAGGCCCACCCAAAAATGTCCCATTCCCGCCCCATACTAATGCCAGGAGCATTAACAAGCTCCCATTAGGGTTCAGAGTGCCAGGGCTGGCCCGAGACCCAGCAGGGAAAATGAAGTGGGTAAAACACAGCCACGCATTGTGAATAACCATGACTGTCCTATCAAAGAGAAAAAATAGAAAACAGAAGAGATAGACATACTTTCACCAAAAGAACTCAGCACTGGCAACATTGTAAAAGGAAAGCAGAGGAACTGATGATTAGACACTGTCTTAAAAATGTAAACTTGTCATTCCTCAAGCTATAAAATGAATCGCAAATCCATGGGCGAGTGGAACGTACCTGCGCGCAGGGGTCAACCAGACTGATACAGATGCACGAAAAGCCCAGCCATCATTTTGGAAAGGAAATGCTGGATGAAATCCTAAGGCTTGAAAGGTTATTTCAGAAACGTCGTCCCTGGGCGGGGATGGGGGAGCAAAAACATGGATCACGTAGCCTCTGAAGGCTGCAGTCACAGCGGCAGGCAGCAGAATAGGCTGCCTAGGGAAGGTGCCAAGTCTTCATCGCTGGAGGTGTTCAAGAAGAGGTGGGACAGGCACTGGTCAGGGATGATTGAGGTGCCGCTATGCCTATGTTTTCCTACATGCATTTTCCTTGCCGCCGGGTTTCGCTGGTTGCCTCACAGGGATGGGAGGGATTTTTCCCCCCTCCTTCTGCTACATGTATTAGGGGTTTGGGTTTTTTTAAGCCTTTCTTAGAGGCATTGGTGTCGGCTAAAGCCAAGGCTGGGGATTAGGACTGTGCCAATGCTCCTGCTGCAACTTGCTGAAGGTTCCTGGCTAGAGGGCCTTGCCTCTCTGCTCAGGGTAAGACCTATCGCCATATCTGAGGTCAGGAAGAAATTTTACACCCTGGTCAGACTGGTACGGTCAGTGGGGCATTTTGCCTTCCTCTGTAGCAGCAGGCATGGCCCTCTTCCTGGGATTTCTCAAGCCTATTTTAACAATTTTTATAGCAGAGGTATGTTTGCAACCATGGTACCCCCTCTGCTTTCCCTTTAGCAGATTACCGTGCTGTCTTGGGTTGTGTCTGGTTTGGTTAGGGATAAACCTGCCTCAGGCAGCAGGATGACTCTGGAGGTCTGTTCCAGCCCTACTCTACGATTCAACGGCAGCACTGCACATTTATGATGATTACACCGATTCACATGAGGATCATGAATTATTTCTAATATACTTCCTCAGAACAAACCAACTTTCCTATGTATTTATTATTTCAAGGCACTTTTTCAGACATTTATCTTTTGTCCCTAAATCAACAACCCTTTGCCAGGCAATAAATATACACTGCATTTGAGGCAGATCTGATTTTGACCCGAATCAAGACAGGTGCAGCATTGCTGCTCTTCCACCAGTGGGTGGCCAGCGAGAGCACACAGCTTGTAAGGGAAGGACCTGCTATAACCTTACAAGCAAATGTTTCAAAGTCCAGGGAAAAACCGATAGCACATTGTCCTGCATATTTCAGGGAGATGGTAGATTTGCACATGTCTAGGGCAGTGAAAACAAAACACTTTCACCTAGGACAAATGCAACATCTATTTTTAGTCTGAAGGACCAAAATGATTTGTCATCTGATGCTCTGAGGTGCTCAGCTCGACTCCAAGTGAATTGGGCACAGAGGGCAATCTAATAATGGGTAAGGCAGAGAAGGCTGAAGTTTTGTGGATTTTTACTTCAATCTTCACAAATAAGATCAGCAAGCTGACAAGAACAGTTAACAGCAAGGACAGGGGAGGGCATTCAACACCTTGGTGGCAACAGTGACCTGCTGACATGAGGATCATCTACTATAAATATTTTAAGACCCATGATTTCACAAATATTGGCATAAGAAAGGACTGAGAGATGTGCTTTGATACACACAGTGTCTCCCCCCTCCCCAGCATTCATGCAACAAAAAATACACAGCACTGGTGGTCAGGTTTGGAGGGCTAAGGGTCTCAGAGGAGTTTTGATAATCAGGGACTCTCTATAGCCAGCTTGGCCTACAAAGTGTTTAAAGGATTGTGACCAAGGGACAAGCAAATAAAGTGGGTTCGGTTATTTCTGACAATAGCCGACACTTGATAAAATTGAGCTACATCCATTAATCTTTTGGGTGCTGAAATAGTTTGAATTTTATGCTTGTTAAAATATCCTTCACCCATTGAGTGCATGGCCTGGGCACGGGCAGTACAAACTGTCCCTTGCTGTCAGGGCAGTTGTGGTACAGAGCCCAGTGGCAGGGGAACAAATGGGTCAGCTCGGCCTTAGGCTCCTCTGCTGAGAAAAGGGCTGACATTAATGGTTGCTCATGACATTAGTCATTTGCCCAGTACGTTGAGCCCCATTTCATGCAGATCACAAAAAAGCCATTGGATTCCATTACACCAGCATTTCTCAACTGTCTCAGACTTAAGGCACACCTCTAATAATGCTTGCTCAGTTTTCACTCAGTTTTGAACTATAAAAAAAATATTAGAGCAATCCTTTTGTCGCAAAGAACTCAGAAAGCCCAAAACAGGACAGGATGCTTTGGACCCTAGATTTCTATAGGAAAAGCTCAGGGTTTACCTTGTGAATCATGTGCAGGTGTTTGCACACCTGCGTGGCACCCTTAAAAGGATCTCATGGCACCCTGGTCAAGAGTCACTGCACTAAGAGGCTAAAAAGTTACTATCACCCTGGCAGACATTACCCCAGTGCCCCGTTACAAGCCCAAATCTGTGTTTAAAAAAAAAAAAATACAAAATATTAATTTGACAAAACCTCTGGTTTGTGGCTTTCAGCATGTCATGTTATTCCCCTTGGAGGGCTTGTGATTACCCGCTTTAAGGATGCTGCTACCAATCTTCAGTTGCAGGCTCCAAGCACAACATGGCAAGGATCGAATTCCAAAGCGCTGATGATTTTGTAATGGCTCGAGCCTTGGAGGCCTTTTTCTTGAAGGTGCAGCAGAGTTGAATCAAAAGGCACTTGGTTATTCAGCGCTGCCTTACGGAAGCATGAGGGCTTTTGCCAGTCTTATCCAGAACCACCTTTTGGTGCAGGGATTGGTGTAGTCACAAACTGTAATGAACCTCAGGATGCTTGGGAATTCGTTCTTCATAGATCTGCACTTGACTGGAATCAGCCGTTTGTGGCGAGCACCTAAAGGAGAGTCCAAACAGGCCCATGGTTATTCAGAGCTGTCTTGTAACTATAAGGTCCCTTCCAGCCCCTAACAACTATGAAACTCTCAATAGTTTCCCTCTTCCCTCTCGCGACTGGAAACAGCAGCACACAGATCTCTAGGTCCAGGACCTTGAGACCTGATCTCAGTCACTCCAGTGCAACCCGGCTAACCCTTATCCTGGAGCTTAAAAGACTTACTCGAGGTCACAGGAGTCAGGAGGAGATTACAGTCCCATGCTCTGACCACAAGCTCACCCCTTCTCTTTTCCAACAAAAGTTAGATTTCAGACTGGGGTAAGTCTCTTCCTTGTCAATGTAAGGCAGTATGGTCAATGGATGGGTCACACCCAAGACAGTATGGTCAATGGATGGGTCATGGGGCAGAAACTCAAGAGATCCAAGTTCTGCCGCTGGCAAATCATTTCACTTTGCCCCTCCCTCTCCACTGCCCCCTTATCTGTCTTGTCTGTTTAAAGTCTTCAGGGTAGGGACTAGGTTTTATTATGCATTTGTACAATGACCAGTGCAATCTGCTATGGCTTAAGTTGAGACCTTCAGATGCTGCTATATTGCGAACAGCATCAATGACTGTGAGCTGTTGGGAAAACACATACCCTTATATGGCTCACATGGATGACCTTACCTGGGGAAAGGCTAAGAGCAAATTTGGTCTGGAAGTCACATTCACTGCTGTCTAGGTAATCATCAGAAATGACGACTACCATCCTTCGGCACCTGAGATGAAACAGGGAATGTGGGACATGGTTAACAAAGATACTTTTCAGACTTATTGCAGCAATATGTATCATACAGAACTGTTCTCCTGCAAACATGCAACTGCCAGCTGTGTTTAGCAGGAACTTTCATACAATCTAAAAAAATGCTGATATTTTACAGCCACATACAGCATACACCCAGCACATCTAATCACTGGAGCAGTGCAGCTGTATATGCATTGCACAAAACAAAACTTTGTTAAAACAACATTGTAAAGGTTACAGAAGCCAAAGTGTTCAAAAGTTAGGACATGCTAAAATGAAGCTTGTCTGTGCAAAACGATGGAGTCTTTCATCCACGAATGCAAGCTCTACTATTGGCTTGGCATCGGTCATACTTAGGAGTATGTTGAATTGTTAAAGGCTTGGAAACATCAAATTCTGCAACAGCCAATGAGCTGAGGAACCACAAGATCTCATAAAGGTTAGGCTCATCCTTATTCTACTCATTACTTACACTCACTTGAAGCGTCTTGCCTTAAACTGTCTGTGTGTCACCAGAGTCCCAGGGAGGAGATAAGCAGGTTGCATTCCTAAGCTATCCTCAGGGTCCTGCCCTCTATGCAAGTAGCTACGCTGATCATCCAAAGATAATGGGTATCAGAATGCCCCATGGGGAGGCAAAATTAACTGGAAAAAGTTAATGAGCCAGAGCTGTTGGATGACCCAGTGGGTCTCTCTCCAAGCAGGTCTCCTCCTGTCACCATGAAGCGAGGAGTTCCCTTACAGTGCACCCACTCCTTCCTCAACCTCTATGAAGTCTGTAAGAAGTTTTAGGGTCAGGATCAGAACCATGGCCTGAAGTATTGCTGTTCCATTTCTGTGCAGGCAGAAGCGGTGTAAGTTGGACCTGCTCTAACTCCTCTTGGATCACCGCTACTTTGGAGCAATCACAGGCTGTACACAGCACACAAGAGAGGGCAAGGACCTGGAGTGTGATGCATAATGTCTCTCCTCCGGGATGGTCTAACTCCTTCTCTCTTGAGGAGATGACAAAGAGGACAGTCCAGCAGGACACCATTGTGAAGTGTCCCTGCCTCGCTGCCCCATCCCGCATGCTCTTCTACACGAGGGTCCTAATCTGGCCCCCAAAGGAGCCAGTCTTTGGTTTCACCACAGCCCTGAGCTGGAAAACATGAACTTCTCCAGTATCCCCCTTAGCAGAGCTGGCTTGCTTACCTTTTCTCTATGAGCTCACTGGCAATGGACCACACGCACGCCCCTGGCAGGACATCCCGATCAAAGACGCACAGCTTCAGCTTGAACTCAGTTTGCTCCAGCTCTGTGATCATCTCTTGCACAAACTCAATGTCCTTCTGACAGTAGCAAATAAAAGCATCAAACAGCTCCGGCTCATTCCCTGGACAGAAGACAATTTCAGTATGGAGTTAACTCAACCCACCTCTTGCACTCTGCAATGTGACTGGAGCCCTTCATTCATCACTCCATACCCCACGCTAGTGCAGTGTAGTCTAACCTTGCCCCTGAGAAACTTGTCCCTTTTTAGACATTTATGGCAGTGTTTGAGGTCCTGAACCTGGGGTCAGATCCACAAAGTTATGCACTGATCTTGGGGGTGCCTGATGCTGGAAGCCACTGAGAAGCAGAGCCCTTGCTCTTTAGCTCCGGCCACAGAGACTCTTGCTTCTAGAGCCACAGATCAACAGTTCAATCTCCGCAGACAGATCATCCAGGGAAGTCAGTCATTACATTCGCTGTTAGCACTGGTGTCAGGTACATCATGTTTGCCTCACGTATTATGCATGGCTGGCACACAAACTGGCTCTTTCAAACTCCAGGACCTTCAGTGAGACATCTAAGGAAGTGACCCAATTCTTAGAAAGGTTGGCCAACAGCAGGTCTCACTGACGTGTATGTACTTCCTTGACACCCAGCTACAGATTCAGGTACCTTGTCTTAAAGACAGCATTTTTCACAACTGGGTGCCTGAAATCTATTGGGCAGTTTCTCCACTGTTTTATACCAGCATGTTGAGGCCATTATGTCAGTGTAAGGCTGGAATAAGGTACTGATGGATCAGACCCTAAAGACAGAGTAAGAAAAAAGAAGTACGTGAAGTCCAGATACCAAAGCCACATCTACAGAGGCAGGTCCCTATGTTTTTGCTCATCTGTAGTGAATTCAAACTGTTGTGGATCTGCATCCAGGACCAGGGCCCACGAACCCAGCAAAGGTATCCTTCCAGGTGAGAAGAAAGTAGTTACATGCACAAAGAGCTTCTACACAAAGGGGACTCGGTTAAACATTATACCGCGCTGGCCTTAGACTCCCCTACTTGGCCACAAAGCCACTTCTCTAATCCCCACTGACACCATCCCTGGTGCTACCCCTCCTCCCTCTCGAGTTATTTCAATGCTACCCCCCTCTTGGTCAGGATGGCCTATATGTGCCTACGTTAAGGGAAGGACACAGAGAATAAGGGAGGAAAATGAACCCCAGTATCTCTCACTAAGATCCCCTGCATCAAAGGCCCGCTCTAGCACCAGGTGTTACTATAAAGTAATAAACCAGTCATTTACCGAAGGGATCGTCTTGGGTTGTGATGCCAGACAATTCTAATGTCTTCGGGATGCTGCTGTCCACTGCCGGGACCTGGAGAGGTGCGTCTGCCTGCTGCTGTTTCCTTTCCAGGTACTTCTTACAGTCCTCCTCTGCAAGAAACCCAAAAGGCCCTTATGAGGCTGCTGAAAAGTGGAATAATTAGTTTCCAGGAAGTAATTTAAAAAGTCCCCAGGCCATCAGCTGCTTGGAAGCTGAAGAGATTTACAAGAAACTGAATTTACTAAGGAGCATTAATTGGTCAGTAGTGATCAGTGATGGACTCAAGCCAAAGGTGCTGTAGGATGGATGGAGTTGTTCTTTTTGAGCAGCACCTGCCATGCTTACAAACATCATCACCGGGGCAGTGACTCCATTGGTCTCAACACCCCTGCAGTCTGTGCTCATTGATGGCTACCCTGGGTTTGCCTTCAGGTACTCCGGCAAACAACGTCAAGTAGGGTAGGGCCGAAATCCAAAGCTTGGGGCGGGGTCTTCATAAAAAAAATCCTATCTGAGTTTGTTACCCTGAACTGGCTGCAGAGTCAGGCATTTAGATGAGGAGTCATGTAAGAGCCCAGACAATCAGCGGAGGAGGGCTGAGCGCACAGTCTAGCAACTCCTTAACCATCGCCTGGAGCTCATGTCAACAGACACGTGCTTTTGGAGCAGGGGGAGCCAGACGGAGCCAGGTTTGTGACAGACCAGCTTAGCTTTATTTTCAGAGTGAAAACCAGGTTTGTGGAGGGCTGATAAAATTTGCTTGCAATGGATGCAACCACAGCGCAGGGCTGTGTTAACGGGCAAGGGAATAAAAAACTACTAGACACTGACTATCTAACAAGCTGTAAAAATGAAGTGCAAACATACAAACAACTAGCACAACTTGAGACAAGCCAACGGATTTCAGATGCTGTTGTGCCACGCAGGCAATTAATTTTATTGTTTCTATGTTAATCTGTACCAGATGTACCATGTCCCTTTCCTTCTGGAAGGCCGTGGGTCCTGGCTCCGACACGGTGGCTTGCTGCTGTTTGTAATGAGACTAATTGGTGAGGGCCAAACTACAGAGAAACTTCTGGGAACATTATTATTGGGGGGGCGGGGGGATTCACTGGAAAGCTATAAAATAGAGGAAAAAGCCAAAATGTTGAGACGGCAAAAAGAGAGGACTGGATAAAGCAAGTCTCTTTGGGTTATTGAAATGACAAATGCAGTATTTAAAGCATATTTCCTTCCTTGGTATATTAAGGAAATATACAGTGATTTGACCTAAATGTCCCAAGACTGGCTTTTAGATCCTACAGGAACATCATTCATGGCCAGCACCCACAAGTCCATATCAAATAAGTCTCGTCTATCCAGAGTTATCTGTAATGCTCAGAGAGGTATATACATTACAGATTACTCAGTCAGTGGTCCAGATATGCCCTAGTCCAACACTTGATCACCTCTATGCAACAAACCTTCAACGCTAGGCAGTTTTCAGAATCAAATACCAGATTTGCTACAGGGGCAGGCAATTATTTCAGGTGGAGGGCCACTTACTGAGTTTTAGCAAGCCATACTTTCATAGTTTCATAGAATAAGGGTCGGAAGGGACCTAGTAGATCTTCTAGCCCGACCCCCCGCCAGGGC